CTAGTATCAGGTATTAGTGACCTTAAAACTCTTGATGCCTCTTAGCTAAGGGAATGTGCTAAGGAACACTTGGCTGAAATCTTTTAGTTTGTGGAAAGCAACTTAGATCCTTTTACCTTATTCTTTTTTCCCCCCAATCCATCTGGTGTTTGGGACATTTCCTGGAATTTCACTGATCTATCTTCTCTTTCTTCTCCCTCCTTTTTCCTGTTTCCTAGACTCTGAAGCGGCTCATGGCAGATGAGGTAAGGAAATTTTGTTCAGCATGTGCATGTTCTAGCTCATTTCCTCCACTGTGATACTTACCAGTTGTCATAACTTTGACTTTCTATAACTTGAAATGGTGATACTGGCTCTATTCTCAGAACCTACCAAAGCTTTTCCCTAACTCTTTGCTTTGTGTTTGGTCCATTGCATGCATTTCCCTGGGGCATTCATTGGTTTCCAAGGGTAGGCACATTCTTTAAATTCATAACTGACTTGCAGTCTGGATGCAACCCCTATCACTTGAAGTCCCCCAGTGCTTGCAGATACTTAACTTTTACTTTCAAACAGGTGGAGCGAACAAACTGCAGCTTATTGGTGGCTCTTTGATTTGAGCATCTGTACTTGAGTTTTGGGGAATGGTTCATGAGTCTTTGGTTGGCAGAGAGGTGGCTTATATATCCCTAAAGTACACTATATTCTTTTCTGTCAGTTCAGTGCTGCTGGAGGGCTTAGAAATGGTCAGAGAGCTCAAGAACAAAGTTTTCTCATTTTAGAGAGGGTTCAAATCTTCATACTTCAGATCTCTTATCTTTGGATGAAAGTGAGAGTACAGAGTCAGTATACTAAATTAGATGTCAGAGTTCTTGTTTTCATGTCAGAAGATATTTTTTAAAGTTTATTTTAAGAGACAGGGAGAGAGAGAGAATGAGCAGGGGAAGGCCTAGGGAGGGAGGGAGGGAGGGAGGGAGGGAGAGAGAGAGAGAGAGAGAGAGAATTCCAGGCAGGCTCTGCACTTCCAGCGCAGAGCACAACATGGGGCTTGAGATCATGACCTGAGCCGAAGCCAAGAGTTGGACACTTAACTGACTGAGCCACCCAGGTACCCCCATGTCAGAAGACCCTCGAAGTGCCCACAAACCAGAGGAACCTTGCACATATAAGAAGCTAGAGTTTGGCTACTTGATGTGTCGATTGTTGTGTAAATGAAAATGTATAACTGTTAATACTTTTTTCTTTTTTCTCAGCTGGAGAGATTTACCAGCATGAGAATTAAAAAGGAGAAGGAAAAGCCCAATTCTGCTCATAGAAATTCTTCTGCCGCATATGGGGATGATCCCACAGCACAGTCATTGCAAGATGTTTCAGACGAGCAAGTTCTAGTACTCTTTGAACAGATGCTGGTAAGTTTCCCACCCCAAAACATTGCTTTTTTTCTGAAAATGCATTTGTGGGCATGGTTGGTACTCTTCTGGGCATGATCTCCCTTAATGAGCCCCTTTTTTACCCGAAGTATTTGTTTATTTTGAGAGAGCATGGGAGTGGGAGAGGGAGGGGCAGAGAGGGAACTTGAGAAACAATCCCAAGTAGGCTCTGTGCTGACAGCACAGGCTTGATCCCACAACGGCAAGATCATGACCTGAGCTGAAATCAAGAGTCCGACACTTAACTGAGCTACCCAGGCATCCCCTACTCACTTAATTAGCCCTTAATTACAAAAGTTCCAGGCTTGACAGAGAACTTTTTTTTTAGTGTTTATTTTTGACAGAGAGCGACAGAGTGCAGATGGGGGGGAGGGACAGAATCTGAAGCAGGCTCCAGGCTGTGAGGTGTCAGCACAGAGCCCGACATGGGGCTCAAACTCATGAACTGCAAGATCATGACCTGAGCCAAAGTTAGACACTTAACCAACTGAGCCACCCAGGCACCCCTTAGTTTTTTTTCAAATGTTTGTTTATTTTTGAGAGAGAGGGAGAGAGAGACCAAGCATGATTAGGGGAGGGGCAGAGAGAGAGGGAGCCACAGAATCCAAAGCAGGCTCCATGCTCTGAGGTGTCAGCACAGAGCCCAGCGTGGGGCTTGGACTCACAGACTGCAAGATCATGACCTGAACTGAGGTCAGACACTTAAGCAACTGAGCCACCCAGGCGCCCCAACAGAGAGGTTCTTATTAGCAGTCCTATTAACAAAGGGACTAAATTTATAAGCACCCATCCATAAGATTGGAATTGATGAGTTAGGCTTGGAAATATCTGATCAGTGACCACCTCCTTAATGTCCTGCCCAATATTGTGTTAGCCACAAAGACATAAGGTGAGTGCACCAACTCATGGGGTAGTGTGGAGGCTACCTTTGGGTTAGCCAGGGTAGGTAAAGTTTCACAAAGAATCTTATAGAAGAGACTGAGTAATGGAAAGGCATAATTTGCTGAACGGCTTCTATTTAGTGGTGAATCTGGAAAGAGAAATCTGATGCTACAATTACTAGAAGACCTTTAAAGATTATGGTTGAAGCCATTTGAGTAATGAAGTACACAAGGATATGACTTAATTTCCTGTCCTCAGTGAGGAACACTGAAGAGGACACTCAGTGAATGTCCACTAGCGCTCAGTCTTGAAAAGTTTTGAGTACTTGTTTCTAAGGTTTCATAAGACCTCTATATTGCCTGGATATAGGATTTCAGATTCAAATAGAGACTAGCGGCAGACCTCATTTAATTGACAGCATGGGCTTACAATTCTTAACACAGGGCCTGGTATATAGTAAACACTCAGCCAGCACTATTATTCTTTTTTCAGTAAAAGCTTTTAGTTTGTCTCTTAATCCAAGTGCTGTATGAGCCTAACACAATCTCTTGGGTTTGGACTGCCAATTTACATGTCTTTGGGGGCCAGGGAGTTGGCAGGAATAAGTTAGACCAGATAGCAGATGATGAAAAGGAGTGAGGACTGTAGTCAGATGCAGAAGGACTTTAGGCCTGTTAGGAAGGCCAGCCGTGATTCAGTGGCAGTAGGCTCTGTAGCACTCCAGTTGGAAATGCCAGTAGTGCCAGATACTTGTATTTTCTAAGGAAGCCAGAAATCTTGAATTTTTGGAGACAATAGTTCTTTCATAGCATCAACTATCATAACCAGCTTTCAAATTTCACCAGTATTCAAATTTCACCATTAGATCATTTTTTTGAAAACCATTTGTTCGCTCAAATCACAGTTCCAAGTTAGGTCCATTGTATGAATGTTCTTTTAAGTTTTATTTTATTACAGGTTTCGTCCCTCTCTTTTATCCTTGCTATTACTACAAAAATTTTGTGGAAGAAATCATTTGACTTCTAGAGTTACCCACAATCTGAAATTTGATGACTGCATCTTGTGATGCTAGAAATCTGTATTTTTATATGAAGTCTTCCAAATTTAAAATGTTGAGCTAGCCAAGCAAAATATACTGTGTTTTGGGGTCTGATTCAACCTGAAGACCACGTACGTTGCAATTTCTGTGTTCAGTTTATCTGTAAAAGGAGAAAAAAAGCACCAGGAATTGGGTCAGAAAAACATCACATTAGTATTACTATTTTGAGGCAGTGTTTCATTCTCTCTCTCTCTCTCTCTCTCTCTCTCTCTCTCTCTCTGTCTTACACACAGAGCTAAAGAGAAGAGAGAAATGGAGAGTAGAAAAGAAGAAATGGAAAGTATCCATTTTACCCCTACCCTTTCCCCATTTCAGATACTATTTCAGACTTGTTGGGTTAAACTGTGCTCATCAAGGTACTGGGCTCAGACACATGGCTATACAAAGGCTCAAGCAGTGCCTTTTCTTCAATAATACACCCAAGTTATATCTGTTGAGGGGCTTTATCAGACTTTTCTAGTTCTTTCTTCATGGGAAAGAAGTTTGTACAGGGACTGAATTAACCAGGGGTATTGGGTATTTATGCCTGAGAGTGGTGCACATCTTGTGGGTGTTTGGATGATGCCAGTCATCCAGAGGAAATTTTTAAGATCCATTCCAAGTACAAAACCAGTATGTGTGCTTTTCTTTCAATGATAAAAAATTTTTTTTCATCTATTTTAAAAACCCATTTTTGTTAGGAAAAGCATTAAGAGTATAAAAGTGTTTCTAGGAATCTATGCTAAAATGTTAACCATTAACATTTATCCCTGAGGAATTTTCATTATCTGGTGATAGCTTAAACCTCAAGGGATCAGGAAAACTTATTTATTCAGTAACTATTTAATTTAACTTCTCACTAAATATACTAAATATTAAACACTGAAAAATTATAAGGAACTTGATGCAGTTTTGTTTTTTCCTTTTTTCCCCCTTCCTCTACTAGCTGGATATGAACCTTAATGAGGAGAAACAGCAACCTTTGAGGGAGAAGGATATTATCATCAAGAGAGAGATGGTGTCCCAATACTTGCACACCTCTAAGGCTGTGAGTCCTAGGGCAGGTACCCATGACGTGGGAGACCCTGCCCTCATCTTGGACCTGTTTGTTTTACCAGTTCCTTAGAACATTGTGTGTCTACATCAGTCTTCTTTTATTCTGTCGTATAAGTCTATTCATGTTTTACTCTCATTTGAGTTACCATTCTTAACATACTTTTTGCCTGATTCAATCTTCACGAAGTCTATGGGGAATGGGATGGGAAATTATGAGTCCCACAGAGTTTGGTAGTATTTATGATGTGTGTCTGCCTTGATATTCATAATGTAATGTCTGATTCTAGTCCATTTGCTGATTGGGTCCAGTGTTGATTAATCTCTCCATATGCTTCATCTAGGGCATGAGCCAGAAGGAGAGTTCTAGGTCTGCTATGATGTACATTCAAGAATTGAGGTCAGGCTTGCGGGATATGCCTCTGCTCAGCTGCCTAGAGTCCCTTCGTGTCTCCCTCAACAACAACCCTGTCAGGTGAGGATTCTGAAGTGGTAACAAGAATAAGAGCCCAAAGTTAGGGTTTACTGGTGGAGTCAGGATGTCTGAGAATTCTGGATTGGGAGTAAAGAGTTGCCAGGTAGAATTTGGGCAGTTATCGATTATTGATATTGCATTGTCTCTGTCTATTCCTTACAGCTGGGTGCAAACATTTGGTGCTGAGGGTCTGACCTCTTTATTGGACATCCTTAAACGACTCCATGATGAGAAAGAGGAGACTGCTGGGTGAGGACTTCCAAGTTTTGACATCTTCCCAGTGGAGGGTAGTGGGGAACTTGTCTGTATGCTCTAAAGGAGAAAATGGCAATAAAATGAGAAGTTGTGGACCAGGAGAATATGCTGTTAGTTGAGAACAAGGTTTACCTAGGGCAAACTAGAGGCTGAGGGATGATTACAGATGCAGGAAACGGAAGAGGAACATGGTGGATAACACATAAGATTGTGGGTCTCGTAGCATAACTTACCTTATCTGGAAGTGGGGTTGGAGTTCATCCATAGCTGTCCTGGGACCTGGTCTGGCTGGGACCTGAAAGTCTTAGAATACACTTGATGAGTTTGGGACTGGCTTTATGATAGTCTTCAAGGTTGGGATAGTTTGGGGGATACCTTGGACTGTCTTAGGCTACCTTGAAGCCAGTCTGACCCACCGTGACTTTTCTATTTCCTGGGATCTTTCCAAGACAAAACACCAGGCCTATACCTCCTGAATGTACAAGCTTGAAACCTTTGAAGTAGTGAGGCAAGCAGTAATAGATGGGATGTTATCTTGATGGAGTTAAGCACTTAGAAGCCTAGAGGGAGTTAAAGAGGAGATTTTAATGTAGTATTAAGTTCTTGGATTGCAGGATTAACCAAAGGTCTTATGGTGGCAATACCTCTTCAGCTACCTGTTTTTGCCAGTGTTTCAGGGCAAAGTGGTATGTACTAGAATTTACTCGGCTACTAATAGGGGATGTTTTGAAGACCCTTGTTGGCAAGATTGAAAAGTCAAGTGGCAGAGGAGTATAGAATAAAGGGAATTCACTGATTATGTCTTCTACACACAGAGGCTACGATAGCCGTAACAAGCATGAGATCATTCGTTGCCTGAAAGCTTTTATGAACAACAAGGTGAGATTTTTCCTATTCTCATTCCAACCCCCATCATGATCCCTGTTCTTTCTTTTCTATTGGCAAACTCCAAAAAAGGACTTAGGAATAGGAGGTTCAAGGCTTGTAGCATTCCCTTTTAGTGTTACAACTTTTTGATTGTCACCTAAGTATGTTTCTATGGACCTTTTTTTCTCCAGTTCTGATGTCTGTTTCAGAAGGTAGGTTTGCTTTCCTTCCTCTTTTTATACTTTGTTTTGCTAATTGAATTTCCTGACCTGTGTTTGATTTTGGAAGGTTTATTTTATTCTCTGGTTATTTGTTTTCCAGACTGTTTCTACCATAGAATCTTTGTTTCTTTTTCTTTGTTTAGTATTTAATTTTTTTTTGGAGTTTGTTTATTTTGAGAGACAGAGCGGGGGAAGGGCAGAGAGAGAGGAAGAGAGAGAATCCTAAGCAGGCTCCACAGTGTTGGTGCCGAGCCTAATGCAGGGCTCGAGCTCACAAAATGTGAGACCATGCATGAGCTGAGCTGAAACCAAGAACTGGATGCTTAATTGACTGAGTCATCTGGGTACCCCTGTCTGTTTAGTATTTAAACTCAGGGATCTCACAGTTGTTTGCTTTTGAGTGCAGATATATCTTCCTCATCATTTAATTTTTAAAATATTTAAATTTTTTTAAATTTTTAATAAAATTTTTTATGTTTATTTTTGATAGAGACAAAGCATGAGCCAGGGGAGGGGTAGAGAGAGAGAGGGAGACCCAGAATCTGGAGGAAACTCCAGGCTCTGAGCTGTCAGCACAGAGTCCAACACAGGGCTCGAACCCATGAACCATGAGATCATGACCTGAGCCGAAGTTGGATGCTTAACCAACTGAGCCACCCAGGCGCCCCCTCATTGTTTAATTTTTTTATAATTAATTTACTCCATTGGATGGGAGGGGGCATTAAAAAAAATACAAGAATTAAAGACTTTTGTTCTTGAAGACCTAGAATTGTGTTTGATTTAGTATAAAATTATTTTGCTATGCTTATCTCTGTTTAGCTCGGGAAAGTTCTACCCCTGTGTTGGTTTGCTAGGGCTGCTCTACAGAGTATTATAAACTGGACTAAACTGTATTTAATAAGAAATTTATTGTCTCACAGTTCTTAGAGGCTTTAAATCCAAGATCAAGGTGTTGGCAGGATTGGGTCCTTCTGCGAGGGCTGTGAGGGAGAGTATGTTCATGCCTCTCGCCTGGCTTCTGGTGGCTTGCTGGCGATCTTTGGCATTCTGTGGCTTTCACATGCATCACTCCAATGTCTGCCTTCATGTTCACAAGATGTTCTTCCCATGTGCATGTGTGTGTCCCCACGTCTCATTGTTATAACACAGTAGTCACAGTGGATTAAGGGTCCACGTTATTCTAGTGTGACCTTGTTGTAACTTAACTAATTACATCTGCCAATGACCCTATTTCCAAGTAAGGTCACATTCTGAGGTACTGGGGATTATGACTTCACCATATGAATTTAGGTGGAACACCTTTCAATCCATAACAACCCTGACTTTGTCCTTGGTTACTTCCTGTCATCATTAAGCCTCCCTTCTCTGTTCTTGTCCTACTAGTTTGGAATCAAGACCATGCTGGAAACAGAAGAAGGAATCCTGCTGCTGGTCAGAGCCATGGATCCTGCTGTTCCCAACATGATGATTGATGCAGCTAAGCTGCTTTCTGCTCTTTGTATCCTACCACAGCCAGAGGACATGTATGTGACTGCGTTTTCTCCTACATTCTCTTTTTTTACCATCTTCCCTAATCTAGAGGAAAATTGAGTGGGTGTCCACTTTGTCTTAAATACTAGGTAAGACCATATCTCTTCGAAGATGTGAACACTGTGAATCTTTTTTTTATAAGTTTATTTATTTTGAAAGAGAGAGAGAGACAGCATTGAGTGGGGGAGGGAGAGAGAGAGAGAGAGAGAGAGAGAGAGAGAGAGAGAGAGAATCCCAAGCAGGTTCCACAGTGTCAGTGCAGAGCCTGATGTAAGTCTCGAACTCAAGAGCCATGAGATCATGACCTGACCCAAAGTCAAGAGTTGGATGCTTAACCAACTGAGCCACCCAGCCACCCCAACACCGTGAATCTTAATGTTTAAGAAAGATTGTAACTGCAGGGGCACCTGGGTGGCTCAGTCGGTTAAGCATCCAACTTGGGCTCAGGTCATGATCTGATGGCTCATCAATTCCAAGACCCGCATCAGGCTCTGTGCTTACAGCTCAGAGCCTGGAACCTGCTTCGGATTCTGTGTCTCGCTCTTTCTCTGTTCCTCACCCGCTCACACTCTGTCTCTCTCTCTCAAAAATAAAGATTAAAAAAAAAAAAGACTGTTAGGTGTGTGTCACTATCATCAGTGTACTTCTGGTTATCAGTGGGATAGCAAAGCATCTCCTAGGTCTCCATTAATGTCTGTAGGACATTAATAGGACAAAGCTTGCTTTTACTTTTTTGTTTTTTTAATTCAAAAGTAACACATTAGTTTTTAAACTCAAACAATATGGAAACATATAAAGTAAAATTTAACAGCCTTATCCCTCTAGTAAATCTATTCTGCAGGGGTAGCCAGTGTTAATGGCTTGGTACAATCTCATTGATTTTTTTTCTAGCATAGAGAAATATATTGTCTTTCCTTGATTATGAGATACCTTCTGTTGCTCCAAAAGATGCTATCTTAGAACGAAGGAAAGATGTAACTTTTCTGTGAAACAAATCACATGCCTAGGATAGATTTTTATTTTTGTGGAGCAGTTTGGTTTAATACAAACAAAATCATACCATTCATTTCTTTTTACCTTTTTTTTTTTTTTTTTAAATATAACAGTTGATCTTGAACATTTTTTCTCTGTGGGTATTTACAGATCTACCTTATTATCTTAAGTGGCTATTTAGAATTCTATAGGATGTATATCCCACAATTTATTTAACAGTTACCCCATTGCTAGACTTTTTAGGTGACTTTTTTTTTCTTAGCACATTCTGGCCCCTGCTCTAGGTGTTAAATTTTACTATTACAAATGATGCCATAATGAACATCCTTGTACATACATTCTTTCACATTTATGCATTTATGTTCGGTAAGTTTCTAGAAGTAAGCCAAATGTTAAATTCATTAAAAACCAGTACTATTAAATACCCCTCCAAAAGTGGTACCAGTTGATACTCCATAGAACAGGTGTCTTAATTTGTTATCCATAGATAGGAGTCTAGGAATGGGTTTTAGAGAATACATTTTTCTAAGGAGATGGTTCTTAGCTTTCAGCAGATTCTGGCTCCTGACCTAGGTGATGAGGAGAATAATATTGAAAACCTGGGCGTTGGTAATGTTCTTTTCCTAACTGATTTGTGCCACTGTATAATCTACCTATTGTGCTTGTGTGTGTCAGGGCACCTGGACATTTCTCTCCCTTTCCTTTTTCCTGGGCAGGAATGAAAGGGTTTTGGAGGCAATGACAGAAAGAGCTGAGATGGATGAGGTAGAACGCTTCCAGCCATTGTTGGATGGACTAAAAAGTGGGACCTCCATTGCGCTCAAGGCAAGTATATCCTCTGAACTGTGCCCAGTAATAGAATTCAAAATGGAAGGACTTAAGTTCATTTGATGTTGTTTTTTTTTTTTTTTTTTTAATTTTTTCAACGTTTTATTTATTTTTGGGACAGAGACAGAGTATGAACGGGGGAGGGGCAAAGAGAGAGAGGGAGACATAGAATCAGAAACAGGCGTCAGGCTCTGGGCTGATGGCTGATGGCTCAGAGCCTGACGCAGGGTTCAAACTCCCGGACCGCGAGATCGTGACCTGGTTGAAGTCGGACGCTTAACCGACTTCGCCACCCAGGCGCCCCTCATTTGATGTTTTAATAGAACACATGGAATGGTTCCCAGGTATAGGCATCCATCGGGGAACTGCAGGTTTGGTTCCAGAACACTACAATAAAACAAACAGGTCAATAAAGTGAGGTAAATGAATTGTTTGGTTTCCTAATGCATGCATATAAAAGCTATGGTTGCTCTGTACTGTAGTGTATTAAGTGTGCAATAGCATTATGTCTACAAGAACTGTATTGCTAAAAAATGCTCACTATTATATGAACTTTCAGAGAGTCATAATCCCTGATCACAGATCACCATAACAAATAAAATAATAATGAAAAACTTTGAAATAGTCTGAGAGTTACCAAAACATGACACAGAGACCAGAAGTGAGCAAATGCTATTGGAAAATTAGCACTGATATACCTGCTTAACACAGAATTGCCACAGACCTTCAGTTTGTAAAAAATGCACTATATATAGAGCAGTGCAATAAAGTGAAGTTCAGTGAAATGAGGTGAGTCTGTATATATTTATTTTATCATTCAGGATTTGCTCTCTAAGAAGGCAGAGAGAAAGCAGCTCTCCTTACTATGAGCTGGTGAAAGGGCATGCTCTCTCTTTAAATGCTGGGAAAGCCAAGGCCTAGTACAGAGTATACCATCAAATCCTTGGAATCATTTAGACTTCTGAGCGACCCAGACCTGGGCCCAAATCAGATCTAAATGGCGCCAGCAGAAAGTTGTTCTTGTGGTTGTGTACTGCATCTTCTGCGTGACATCTGGGGTCCTCAGCACTCATGTAAAGAGAACGGAATCTTGGGGCACCTGGGTGGCGCAGTCGGTTAAGCGTCCGACTTCAGCCAGGTCACGATCTTACGGTCCGTGAGTTCGAGCCCCGCGTCAGGCTCTGGGCTGATGGCTCGGAGCCTGGAGCCTGTTTCCGATTCTGTGTCTCCCTCTCTCTCTGCCCCTCCCCCGTTCATGCTCTGTCTCTGTCTGTCCCATAAATAAATAAAAACGTTGAAAAAAAAATTAAAAAAAAAAAAAAAAAGAACGGAATCTTGATCTCTAGCAGATTACAATGACATAAGTGCCGAATTTGCTTATTTTAGGTGGGATGTCTACAGCTGATCAATGCTCTCATCACACCAGCTGAAGAACTTGACTTCCGAGTTCACATCCGAAGTGAACTGATGCGCTTGGGGCTGCATCAGGTGTTGCAGGTGAGATGCAGCTCTTCATTAGAGAGGCCAGGCTGCCTGCTGCCTGCTTTGATAGCTCAGTCATCTCTGGGGTCACTTTCGCTCTCAATTTAAGAACCAGGTTGAAAGGCTTGGGTTTCTGGCTGGCATAGGATGCTTCTGGGTTCCCTGATTTGTACTTTGATCATTGACAGGATCTTCGAGAGATTGAAAATGATGATATGAGAGTGCAACTAAATGTGTTTGATGAGCAAGGGGAAGAGGATTCCTATGACCTGAAGGGACGGCTGGATGACATTCGAATGGAGATGGAATATCCTTTTATGGACTGGGTTCAAGACATATGAGACATTCATTATAGATCCCTGCATGAAATGGTGTGGGGTAATGACTCTGAACAGGGTATCAGCCTGTGTGTCTTCTCAGTAGGTGAGGCAGGTGTCTTTTGATTGCTGTGGGCTTTATTTACCTCAGCATGGACCAAAGAAATTAGGAAAGGTGATCTGAGGGTTGCTCAGCATGGAAGTAGCCATCAAAACGTGTATAGACTTCCTAGAACATAAGAGCTTGGTTTACGAAGGTGTAGAGCTGGTTTTTGATGCACATTCACAAGTCGGGGAGTAGGCTTGTCATTTGCTTTCTTGTGGGTGTCCCTGAGACTGACAGAGGGAGTAGTCTGGCTATGTATCACTATTTGACACACGTGACTTGTGGGTAGTGATCGTTTCATTTCTGTCTACTGCTTGATCTTCAAGCCAGTACTGGGAATCCTCTGTCTCTGTGTATAATACCACCCAACTCACTGGTCCCTTGGCCTTAGGAAGTTTACGGAGCTTAAAGTTTTGGGTAATGTTTACAGGGGAAATGGCTGTTAGAATAGAAGTGGTATCTTGCAACTTTTCCCAAGAGTTGGGCAATCGACCTGTCAGTTTCTAAATATATGCTTTCCTTAGCCTCTTCCCCTTTTCCACTGACTTCAGTGAAGTTTTCCAGATTCTCCTAAACACAGTAAAGGATTCAAAGGCAGAGCCACACTTCCTGTCCATCCTGCAGCACCTACTCTTGGTCCGAAATGACTATGAGGCTAGGTAAGATGGTATACTGTGAGAAGTATTAAATTTGAGCCGAAGTAGAGAGAGAAAAATCCTTAAATTCAAAGAATGTAAAAGGAAAAAGAAAAGACAAAGGTTACATTTAATTTTCAGTCATATATAAAGAGTTGTCAGTTGTCCTTTTAATCTGACTGAAGGGCGGCTGTATGGAAGAGATCACAGTGTATACCGTAAAGTGTCCTTCCCATTTTGGAAATGGGAGGTGGGTGGGATAAAGATGGTAGCAAAGGGAGGAACCCACTTAAGGTTCTTTCAGGTTGCCTAGAAGTAGAGAGTAAGCAGTAGTGCTGTCTATCACAGAAAGGATCAAGCCTGAATTTTGAGATGGGAAATTATTGGCATTAGGAAGCAGATGGCAACAAGTTTTGATTATCTGAAGTAGATGGAGTAGCTGCTGTAGAAGAGGGAGTTGCCTAGCCTGGCAACATACTTCTGTTAGTTTTACGAAAAGGTCTTCTCTGGAATAGTTATCCTCAGGTCCCTCATTTATCAAAGCAGTTAACTTTTCCTGATCCTGATTGTTTCTGAGAATTGTATTTTGGTTTTCCTTTCATAACCTTGTTCTGTTTCTTCCATAGACCGCAGTACTATAAGCTGATTGAAGAATGTATTTCTCAGATAGTTCTGCACAAGAATGGGGCTGATCCTGACTTCAAGTGCCGGCACCTCCAGATTGATATTGAGGGGTTGATTGGTAAGCATATTCTTCTATCTGCCTCCTTAAAACATTGTTTCTACCTTTCATTTTGTGTCTTTCTCCAGTGAAAGTTTCATGGAAGATAAATTCCTAGTCTCCAGGTATTTCCATTTGTGTCCTTAGGTGGTCATCAACATCTGTGTTAGGAATATACAGACCTTTAGTTTATTTCTGTGTGAAACTAAGAATGTACCACTACTCACACATCGCCCCACCTTTTGAAGGGAGTTCAGCTGTCATCTGACTCCTGGTCTCAGAAGTTCATAAGTACCACTTGTAGGCACTCTCCATGCTGCCCAGCGTGGCGGCCTTACCACATCACAGGCACCCAGAAATTCTGTGTTGAGCTCAATAGAAAGTTTCATTTCTTTGTTTAGTGCAGAACAGTAAGAAGTATAACAAAAGTGAGAAAATGGACAGAAGACTGCCATTATATTGAAGGATTTAAGTAGTGAGAGGGAAAGACAAGAGAATTGGGAACTTTACTGATTCTTCTGTTTCTTTTCAGATCAAATGATTGATAAAACAAAGGTGGAGAAATCTGAAGCCAAAGCTACAGAGTTGGAAAAAAAGGCATGTATGAGAGATAAAAAAAATTGGGGTCTTTTTTTCCCTTTTTAAGGATTATGTTTTTTTCGGACATGTGAAACTGTTACCTGTGATACTTAGCAAACATTCAGCACACAGTAGCGGTTCCTAGGAGAAACCTTTCTGGTATAGGTTAGTCACTGGAGAAACTAACATGGATGTGATCCAGAGGAATTGGTGGTACACAGTTCTTGATCCCCTGGGTAGGACAGGAAAAGACAGATGGCTCTCATGAATAACAGTGACAGTTGTTGCAGTTTTGCTGGCATCTCAGGCCTCTTATTCCTAGAACAACAGGAATATGTGTGTGAATTCTTTTTTTCCTCTTTAGTTGTTACGGACTCCTATTGCGGTTGATGGGGGTTTGCTCCTAGAGGCTGCTGAGATTGTCCACCATAGCTGCTCTGGTGAAATGTCTTAACGGTGTTAAATTTCTTTAAAATCTTAGGTTTATTTGATTGCTTGGTTTTTAACTGAAGTATAGTTGACACACAATGTTAAGTTAATTTTAGGGGTGCAACATAGTGATTCAGCAACTCTATACATTATGCTGTGCTCACCACAAAGTGTAGCTACCATCTGTCATTATGCAACACTATTACAATGCTATTGACCATATTCTCTCTTCTGTGCCTTTCGTCCCTGTGGCTTATTCACTCCATAACTGGAAGCCTGTACCTCCCAATTGCCGTCATCCATTTTGCCTACCCCCCACCCCCTTTGCATCTGGCAAACACCTGTTTGTTCTCTGTATTTATGGGTTTGTTTCTGCTTTTTTTGTTTGTTGATCTGTTTTCTTGTTTTTTTGGTTTTTTTTAGTCCACACGTAAGTGAAATCATACAGTATTTGTCTTAGGTTGTTTTTGTTTGTTTTTGTAATTCCCCAAATTAGATAGACTGTGGAAATGATCCCTGGTTTCCCCCTTCTTTAACCTTGATTTTAAGGTCAAAATCATGGTGGTCTTTTTTCCCAGGCATTCCCTGGGAAAGTGCGCTCTCTAAAAGCATTGGGACAAAATAGTGAATTTTGGGGAATAACGCTGTGCTTCTTGCTGGAATGGAGAGCTTACAAAGAGCCTAATTCCTTTCTCCTTTAGCTGGACTCAGAGTTAACAGCACGACATGAGCTACAGGTAGAAATGAAAAAGATGGAAAGTGACTTTGAGCAGAAGCTCCAGGATCTTCAGGGAGAAAAGGATGCCTTGGATTCTGAAAAGCAGCAGATAGCCACAAAGAAACAGGACTTGGAAGCAGAGGTGTCTCAACTCACAGGGGAGGTAATGCCTGAGCGGGGGAGGCAGAGTGACCTCTGAGCCATCAGCAGCCTCATGATAGGCCTGTCTGCAGCAGGAGTCAGACACCTTATTCCTCGGGAGGGTTCAGCTATTAATAGGTAATCTAGTTAGATAGTGCATGTTTTAAAAATCATTTACTGTTTTTTGTTTTATTTTGAGGTAATACATAAGATAGAAAATTTGGAAAATACAGACAACGTAGAGAATAAAAGGAGTCACAGTACTACCCAGAATTAAAACTAATGGTCTTTTAAGACATTCAGGAGTAAAATCCAAATTATCTCTTCACATATTTGCTAATTTTCTCTTATTTTAGCTATTTCTGGACAGATTTATCCCCGTACTCTCTTTGCAGTTATAAGTATTTATTTTTTTAGTGTTTGTTTATTTTTGAGAGAGAGAGAGTGTGCACCTGCGCTAGCGGGGAAGAGGCAGAGGGAGAGGGAGACACAGAATCCAAAGCAGGCTCCAGGCTCTGAGCTGTCAGCACAGAGCCTGACGCAGGGCTCGAACTCGGGAACTGTGAGATCATGACCTGAGCTGAAGTCAGATGCATTAAGTGACCGAGCCACCCAGGCACCCCTGCAGTAACAAATACTTAAATATGGTATCTGATAAGTTGATCACTTACATGGTTTTATCACTAGAATATTTGATTTGCTTGAACTTTGTATTTTCTAATTAAAGGGAGAATTTAACATAAAGGTTGAAGTTGCCTTTTTAATGCAAAGCATGCTAAACTAAGAACATGAAGACCTGAATTCTAGTTTGTGTCCCTAAATATCTGTGACTTTAGGTATGACTTGAGGAGTCTGTCTGATTACTTTCAGTGTCTGTGTGTGTAAAAATGAGAACTTTGGATTAAGTAATTTTGTAGGTCCCTTCCAACCCCAGTAGTCCCTGAGTGAAGGGAGGAGTACTTCCATTGTTGTTGTTCCTCTAGGTTGCCAAGCTTTCTAAGGAACTGGAAGATGCCAAGAAAGAAATGGCTTCTCTCTCCGCTGCCGCTGCCGTTACTGCTGTAGCCCTTCCTAGCAGTGCTCCTGTCCCCCCCACCCCTCCTTTACCTGGTGACTCTGGCCCTGTTACTCCACCCCCAGCCCCTCCTTTACCGGGGGTGGTTAGCATACCCCCATCAGCTCCTCTTCCTGGAGGTGGTACCATTCCTCCTCCACCACCTCCCCCTCCTTTGCCTGGGGGTGTTTGTATCCCCCCACCCCCTCCTTTGCCTGGAAGTACTGTTGATATCCCCCCACCCCCTCCTTTGCCTGGGGGTGCTGGCATCCCCCCACCTCCTCCTCCCCCTCTTCCTGGTGGTCCTGGAATCCCTCCACCCCCTCCATTTCCTGGAGGTCCTGGAATCCCTCCACCTCCACCTGGAATGGGTATGCCTCCACCTCCCCCTTTTGGATTTGGAGTTCCTGCAGCCCCAGTTCTGCCATTTGGATTGACCCCAAAGAAGCTTTATAAGCCAGAAGTGCAGCTCCGAAGGCCAAACTGGTCCAAGGTGAGAATTTCTGTCCATTTTTTTCATTAGTAGATATTAAGAAACCACTTCACTTTCCTACTTTGTGCCCAGGTGGTCTTCCCTTTCTTACGACTAACATCTGTCTTCAGGTTCCATTCATGCTTCTGCTTATTCAGCACGTTAGGCGTCTTCTGTATGGCAGACATCACTTCGGAGAGCTCTTGGAGCCCTATTCTCTGCTACAAACCCTAAACATATCTTTAAGTTAATGTTTTTGGTCTTTTTTCTGAGGTTATGAGTGCCATGGTAACAAACAGTTTGGTAATAGTCATTTCACCAGTTTGCGAGCTGCTGACAGTAGTGCTGATCTGGAAAGTTGTGGCTTTTGGATACATCCTGATACCTCTCTCTGCCATCAGTGAGTTACAAAGGACATGTTTGCATGGCACAGTATTTCCTCCACTGTGCATTTGAGGCCCCTGTGATTTCTGCATTAGCCTTCTGCTTAAAGAAACCAAGTTAAAAGAGCCTAGTGATACAAAATAAACTAATAAACTCATAAACTAATTTGTCATAGTTAAATTGTTTTTTTCCGTTTGTCATAGTTAATAGCTAAATTTTTGGGAAAAATAAAATGTAGAGCAAAGGAAGATGTGAAATCCTCAATACTTCTAAAACTAGAGGACTTGAGGTTAGGAGGAAGATAAGTAGCATAACTGAATCTAGTTCTTGAATAATCACCAAAAAACAAACTGGAAGCACTGTCTCCTGATCCTACCATGAAGAGTGCAGCTCCTCTGTGTCTTGGATTAGTCTGTTTTGCTGAGAACCACTACCCACATCTTCTGCATGTTAATCCATTTTCCAGGTTGGAAAGTACAGAGCTCAGCTTAATAACTCAACACTCTGCCTTTATTCACAGTTTGTTGTTGAGGACCTGTCCCAGGACTGCTTCTGGACAAAAGTGAAGGAGGACCGTTTTGAGAACAATGAACTTTTCGCCAAACTTACTCTTACCTTTTCTGCCCAGACCAAGAGTGAGTACCTTCCTCTTTCATGCCCAGGGCCAGGATAGGACTTGGAGTGTCCTTTAAGTGGGTTTTCCATTCTTTTCCTGTCCCTGGGTGAGGGTTGAAGAGAGGTGGTTTTTCCTGTTAGGAAGGAATTAAGATATTTTTGTATTCTGGGAATGCTGAGGTTGAGAAAGAAAACTGTTGCCTTTTGGTATTTTTCCCCCAGTTTGTTTTGTATATGGGTATTTTATATCAGTATAACTTGTTGGGGATATGAGATTAAGGTGACAAGAAGCTCAGTCTAGGCCCCTGTTAATAATACCCTTGAACGGATTCTGACACTGTCTTTAAGGTGCCATCGTAGACCTACACTCATAAAGGGTTGGGTGGAGTTTTGAATAGCTTAGGTGATTGAGTGACTGTCTATAGTAACAGAGCCATGTGTGATTCTTTTTTTTTTTTTTCCCTTCCATTTCTTTTCAATATTTGATGTTTTCATGGCCATTTTCCCTCCAGCTTCAAAAGGTAAGAATACAGAAGAGCCTTTTAATTGAGTATCTTGAACATTAGAGCGAGATGAAGCAGATGTAAAGCGATTTCTCTTAAGAAGACTGAGAGTTCAGGGATTGATATCTCTACTGCAGTTTTTTTTTTTTTTTTTTTTTTTTTATTAATAGTCCAGAAGGCTCAGTACCTGTGATGTTAACTGACAGGGTAGAAAGTTATTTTAAGTCCACGCTGCCACACCTGAAGTACTAATACTGTTACCTTACATTTCTGTTGTGTTTTGTAGTCTTCTACCTGCTTTAACATGTGTTACTTCTTGGATCTGCAAAGAAGCCTTAAGAGATAAGCAGGATGTGTATTATCTCCATTCTGTAGCATGTTTGGAGTGAGTAGGTACCTTGCCCAAGGTTAAATGACCAGATCTAGGGATCTTGTCTTCTGGTCCATGTTTTTTTTTGGTATAAATTCTTGCTTCTTCACCTTTGTATCTTCCCCTGTGTTCTAGAAGAACTGATCTTTTTGCCCTCTTCTTTCTTCACTTCCTAATTTTTGTGGTTTTGTGCTGCCTTATGATGGGGCACTTGTAGTTATTTCCCCTGAAGAATACAGTATTTGAATTTAATGACAATTATAGCCCACTAATTTTGTATTTCCATCTGAAAGCTTTTTTATTTACTTAGGGGTATATTATGACCCTAGTGATGGAAACTAAGTGCAACTTTTGAGCATTTCCCCATCGTCTCTCTGCCCTCCTCCTGCCCCTTTATTTTATTCCTTAAGTGATCTGAGGGGACCAAGCTGCACTTTCTTATAAGGAGCCTAACATTGCTAGGTGTCTTTGGTGGTCCCTAGATATGTGCATGTATCTGAGAGTGTGAGATCGCTGTGCTCAGACTTGACATGTTGCCCTGTCACTCAGGGCAAAGTGGCCTTGTATTCCAGAAGAGCTGTCATCTTCTGAACTAAAGCCCAGCACAGTGGATTACTTCCACCCTCTTAGTGAAAAATACCATGACAGTGACAACTTACCCTACTCTGGTATATCACCAAAGACTAGTTGACAGAGAAACTCAAAATCAAATGATTTCCTAATTTGTAAGGTCACAGAATCTAGCCCTTTGTTGGCTCTGGCCTAAGTTGCTTTCTTGCAGCTGTGCTCTGAGTGCCACTGTGCATGCATACTGGCTGGACCCCTTTCCTCCTGCCTTGGTCACATCCTACTTCTGTACACTCATATTACTGTTGATGAGAGTGGGATTTTCTGCAGTTTAATGGTTTTCCTTGGCATTTTATTTCCCCTGTGAATTGATAGATGGTATGTTAAAAATACCCAAGCCAGACTTTACCTTTTGTCATTTTCAGCACTGTAACCAAACTTTTTAATGATCCTTCAGTTCTCAGGTTCTGCCCTAGAAATGACATTCTTTTCATTTAAGTTTCTAACTTTCTACCAGCCTTGGTTCTTTTTTAAATTTTCTTTAGTTTGGTTTAGTGGACTAGTGATTTTTGTGTAGTAATAATCCTCACTAGTAGATTGCTGAATGCACAAGCAGGGGAGAGGCAGAGAGAGAGAATCTTACTCAGGCTCCATGCTCAGCACAGAGCCGGACACGGGACTCAATCTCACGACCTTGACATCATGACGTGAGCCGAAATCAAGAGTCAGACACTTAACTGATTGACAGGCACCCCTCTAGCTAGTCTTTAAATATCTTTAGTTTCAGTTACCATTTGCAGCTGTTAAATTGGCATACTGTCTTAATGTCCCTGTCTTTTCATTAGGAAACACTTGAGGGTGTGTTCTGAAAACTACAAAATCATGAGTTTTCCAGACATTCTAAATCTTAATGATTTAAAGAAATTCCTGGGGGAGGTTTTATTTTCTCTGTCAAATATAATCCTAAGTGCTTACTATTTACCCAACTCTAAGTTACTTATAGCACTCAGATGCACCAGGACATTCCTGCTGCTTGTTGTCCATGGTACATCTATGTTTTCATTCATTTCCCCCCAAAAAAGAAATGCCTCCCCATTTTAAAAATAATTTTTTCTTTGGATTTTTAATGTTTTACTGACTTTAATGTCCGATATTTATTTTTTTCTTCTCTGTTTGCCTGCTTTTTTCCCCTTTGAGTTAGTCTGTAAATCTCTGGTGATACAAGAGGTATTTGAATATTGGGACTTATTTAACATGTCTCTTGGGAACAGAATAGTTGATTTAATGCCATTGCTGCAGGGGTCTCAGGTAGCAGGCAGAAGTACTGCATAGGGACCCCATCCCATGTATAACTCCCACTGTGATCAGGGCTAATTTGCCCTTGGCTTTCCTGATGCAGTTTTGAACTTCCTTCTCTTGGTGCTTCAGGTTGGCAAACTGCATGCATATTCCCAAGTAGCCCCTTGATCACAACGTACCTGAAAAAAAAACACTTGAGTAAAAAAAGACTTTGAGGATCTTAGTTAAACTAAGTTTATGTCAGGTAAGGAAATTCAGGCTTTAGCAGCTTCAGAGGTAGGCCTCTAAGGGCCCAGGTCTCCTGATTATAAAAGCAAGGTTTCTTTTGTTTCTGATGTTTTAAACATGTCCATGTAAAATTTCAGAATATCTTCATCCTTAATCCTTTTTGTCAGGTAGGTAACCAGTTTCAGGTTCATAGTCTTAATATTGATGATGTAATTAAGCAATAGATAAATACTCATTAGCACTCTGTAAATATTCTGTCTTTCAGATAAAGAATTAGAGACCTAATTTGAATAACTTTTACAAGTCTATATAGTAAGTGCCAAAGCCAGGATTCTCACTCTTGAGTGTTTGATTCCAAAGTCCTTGCTCTGGCCCTCTGCGTTCCAGAAGTGTATATCCCTCCCCTAAATGTTTCCAGAAGCTTAGCTCCAGACAAAAGATGAAAGAAGTAGTTTTGCAACTACTTCATTCATTCGGGCACTTCACTTCTGTCCTTGAATTGGCAGTGACTCTTAGTACAAAAAAGAAATAACAGATTAGGGAAAGTAGGTGAAATACTGGATATTTAGGGTTGAAGAAGAAGAGACATGTTTTGATTCTAGTATATTCACTAGTAGCAATGAATCCAGTTGGAGAACTAAGACCTGCTTCTCTATTACAATAAAAGTTCTGCTTAGATGATTTCAGCCTAGTAGTTGCCAGGCTTGATGAGGAAGTTATTTGGACAGTGGGTGTTCATAACATTGCATTATTTCCTTTCTCATTTGCTAAACACAAGTCTCCGTTACTTGTTAGACATAGCTGTATCCCCCTTTTATTTTACTGATCCCTAAAGCCTCTTGTATACCTACTCCAGGAATGAACCTTAAAGAAAACGCCTACCTCACTCTTTACATCTCCCTCCTTAGTCAGAGGTCTCCAGCCACTTCTTCATTACGGTTCAGGAAGATGTGGGCCTTTTTAAGTAAGAGCCCAGAGAGAGGAGCCAGCCCTCAGATGTATACTACAAGTTCTCTTGATCATTTTTCTCTCTTAAAGATTAGTCTCTTGTTTCTGAACTCTTGACTTTCTATAAATCACAAATTTCCTCAGTTGATTTATTCCTTGCCAGGGAATATTATGAATTCAGATTTGATAGGCGGTGCTATAAAAACTTCTAGCCCTTTTTACTTTCTCACTCTTCTTATGGTGATCAGCAAGGAGTCTTTTATCATGGTCTCTTTCTTGACTCTGCCTTTTGAATTCCTTGGGAACACGTTCATTAGTTAAATTTTAATTTTTTTCATCTTTTCCTAAGGAGCATTTTCATCACCGTGGTGACCTCAGGTCATTATTTGTATGTATGAGATAAGTAGTTTTTCATTCAGCTTTCCTTCTAACTCTTACTCTCTTTTGTTAATGACTTGATCCCATGAAAAATGCTGTCCTTGGAATGGTGTAAGAAGTGATAACTGATGTGCTAGGTAACAGTGACATTTTCCTTTTTAGGTTTATTCCTTCCATCCAAAAATGTTCTGGGCTTTTAAGATCCACAAGCTAATCTCCATTAGTGGTGTGCATTGGACAGACAATATGTAGGTTAAACCCTCTCCCTGTTAAAAAGTATGAGGGGCCTTGTGGCAACTTTGGGCATCATCAGAACAGCTCTCCAAGTGGTTATCAGCAGTAATTTAGAAAGAACTCTGCCTAAAAGTAAGATCTTGACCAAGAGCTGCAAATTTCATACACAGTAACAGTATTTTCATTAGGATTTGACTGTGTGCATCAAGATCCCAGTGTTTGTGCTGTTGTCCCACAGGTCAGAACTGTTGGCAACAATCCTCTGTTGCTCTCCCAGAACTTGTTTGGTTCAGGCTTCAAGGGTAGCCAGTGGTGGGGAAGCAATCCCTTCTTTCCCCAGAGGTCAAAGGGTCTTTCCTTTTCCCTGTGATCCTCTTCTGTCCACTAGGGGGCACTCTTTCAGTTGGATTTTTATCAGGAAATGTCCAAGTGAATCTTTACAGTTTCTGCAACTTTAACCCCTAGAAACAAGATTTTGTAAGAGCTCAGCATG